TGATTTTAACCATCCCCAGAAAAAGAAGAGGAGAAGCGATGCAGAAAGAAGTACAAAAGAATATCAAAGAAGAAAGAGTGAAACACTGTACCTGAGATAATGCAGACAGTGAAGAAATGATGACCGGCACGAGCACTATGGCAAAGAAGGAAGAAGCACAATGTAATGCGCACAAACAAGAAGAACAGTAGTTAACGTGAAGAAGGTCCTCAGGAGGAACGAACCTCCTTTTTAAAAGAGGAAGGAGAGCGAGATGGCATACACGTGTACAACCAAATCTTTTTCCGACCATAGGATCTCATAACTGTTAGGTGATGGGCGACTGTGATGAAGGGCTTGATGGTAATTTCAGGGGGACAAGACACCCTTCACGTCGCATTAATGTGTCGTGCCTCGTAACAATGCAGTTACTTGCAATGATGGGAGAAGCCATCAATGCAACTCCTCGAAATTCAAAGAGACACCCTTTGTGTCAGAAAGGCGAAAGACGCAAAATACCCCTTGAAGGACGTCGGACAATGCAGTTACTACTCCTACACCAATCAGGAGACGCCTAAATTCCTCGAATGGGCGACACCAACCAGAGGTCGCCCAATAATTTCGACTTGGCACCAAACTACTCCCACACCATTCAGGCCACACTGAACTAGCTTTCCCTGGCGATGCCACCTAGAGGTCGCCCAACGAATTCGTCTGGGCACCAGCTAACGAAGATCACTAATCGCCATATCGCCAGAAAGGCGCCGCCCAAAGACTGTAACTTGGCACCAACCTACGCTTGCTACCAAGCTGGGGGGCTCCTGTTCCGGATGGCCCAACCACTAAGTAGCCCAATTGCTCAAGCCTAACCCCTAGCTCCAATCCACGTCAGCCCTAAGGGCTGACGCGGACCCTCACATCCCCCAACGTTGCGACGCATCCAAGGGAAACATCAAAATGTCCTACCTTGGGACCTCAACCCTCAAAGGCGACCGTCACAGGCACCATAAAGGGAAGCTGCCCCTTTGCCCAGTGCTGACATCGCCAGATGCAGAAAGCGCAGCGCTACCACAACGGCAGCGCCTGCCACGCCTAACACTGCCACCATGGGGTGAATCCCAAGGAGGGTTGACCCCCTCCTTACCAACCCACACCATTTTCCTTATAAATAGCCCCCTTGGGTACACGAGGAAGGAACCTTATGTATCGTTATCCTGCCCATTTACTTTGAGTCATATAATCCTTTAATTATCCATTGTCGATTGCTTGCTTATACTTGGCACAATACCTCTTAGCCTGGACTGTACCTGAGCTGAGGGTATTATCCATACAGTGACTCATCCCTGAAAGGAACATAGTGGGCTTATAGATCCCAACGGTACAGGTTTGAAGATGTTTAAGTTATAAGAAGTATGGGGTTTCTCTCCTATTTTTCTTCTCTATTTTTTATATTTCTTCTTTTTTAAAGAGTAGCCAGAAGCCAAAAAAAAAGTACCAATTTGTTCTGCGTTTCTGATTTTATAGAGGAAGAAAAAGAATAGCTTCCCTCATTCTTTATGGGGGTAATAAGTAGAAGTGAACTCTTCAGTGTATTGCAAGGGTGTTATGCTAAGACCACATAAAGATCTTTTCAATGTTCCATTTTTTGCTTTGCCTTTTTCTACTCTCATAAGTAAACATGGTGCCTTGTAACAATAACCAAACCTCCATTTCAGAAGCTACATCAGTGACAAGATTTTTTTTTATTTTTTATTTTAAATTTGAATTTCCTAGACAAATTTTGGTGTCTACACTTATGACAAAATAGTTGTTTTTCAAGTGTATATCATATCACTTCTCCAGAAGCAAACCAATACTGAGGAGATTGTTTTTCAAAGATGGAATATAATAGACATTTGAGTATATGCCTTACCTCCATTTTTTGTGAAAATCATAATTTTTCCCTTGCCTTTGACTAGAACCTTTGATAGATCTCCAAAAATGACTTTTCCTTGAACTTCCTCATTTAGTTCTGTGAATAACTCTTTTTTGCCACACATATGATTGCTTGATCATGTGTCAAGGTACCAAACATCTTTGCTACTATCCTCATCACATTTGTAAGTGAACAACATGGTCAGTTCATTAGCTTTCTTGTCATTTGCGATATAATGACTTCTCTCCTCAACTTTAGTAGCATTTCTTCGTTCATAGCTGAGATGACCATATATGTTACAATTATAACACTGCAAGTGAGATTTATCACCTCTTTGTTGAAATATTTCTCCTCCTCAGGTCATGAAACTACGTCCTCGGTCGCGATTATATGCTCCTTGACCACGTCCATATGTTGTTGCATCAATCTGAAATCTTCTATTTGTTTGGCCATATCCACCGTGTCCACCATAACCACCTCGAGTGTTGAATCCATCTCGGGTATTGAAATTTCCTCTATATCATCCATGATTTCCTCTAACAAATACAAAATTGCTCCTGGCTTGGTTTCCATCAAGAGACAACTTGGTTTGCATAGCTTGCTCCAAACTACTGGAGCCTTCATTCAACATCATTCTTTGCTTGTGAGCTTGAAGAGAACCAACAAGCTCATCAATAGACATAACTGACAAGTTTTTAGCTTATTCAATGGCAGTGACAATATAATCAAATCTTCTTGATAATGAGCATAGTATTTTTTCCATTATTCTGACATCATCTAAAGTTTCTCCATTTCTTTTCATCTCTTTTGTCACCTTTTGCACTCGTGAGACATAATCTGTCACTTGTTCTCCACTTTGCATCTTCAAGTTTTCAAACTCGACTCTAAGTGACTGGAGCCGCACCTTTTTGGCTTTGCTAGCTCGTTGGCAGGATTTCTGCAAGATCTCCCATGCTTCACTGGATGACTTTGCATCAGATATTGATTCATCAACACCTTGAAAAATTAAAAATAGAGCCTTCTTATCCTTCTTACGTGTTTCTTTAATTATCCTTCTTTGTGCATCTGTCATGGCGGCTTCAGCGGCTGCATCTACAGGCTCTGAGTATCCGATTTCAACGAGCTCCCAGACATCTTGTGAATCTAAGAGCGTCTTCATGTGAGTGCTCCAGTTCCATAATTTGACTTTGTCAATTTTGGAATTTGAGGTTGAAACATCTCCGTCATCTTTGATCAACCGTGGCTCTGATACCACTTATTGGAAATTTAATAGAGATGATGAAGAATGAAGAAGAAACTCTTTTATTAATATTTCACTAAAATACAAACACACACTACAATTTGTTGAATCTCACAATCACTCTCTCACATATAAGTGCCATGACACTTTTTCTCACTTTCACTTCCACACTTATTTTTATTTCTTTCTCTCACACAACACATGTTGCTCTTTCTTTTCTATTGCTTCAATTACACATAAGACACACTACACAAAGCACTCTCATTTTATTTCTATTCTCTTACACTTCTATATCTAAGACACGACATAAGAGCTTCAATTTATAGCTTGGATAGCTAAAATTTTGGCCTAACAAAATACAATTAAATATTATAATACAGCACACTCCACACACAATTATATGAAAATGATTACCCACTCAGACTAGTGCTTGCTTCACTATAATTTTAAAACACAATAATCACAGAACTATCTAATAATACATGTCTATATAATTGTCCAGCAGTCCACGTTCCACATATATGTCCAGCTCCCTTTCTTTTCTTTTGTCACCCCACATCCAAATTATTCTTATCTTTAGCTGAATAATAGCTTTGCACAAATCACATTGTCGTGGAGTTTTTTAGTTTGTCTTCCACTTTACAGTTGAGACAACAATCATTTAGAGCTAATGGACAAAGCAAAGTAGGGTTTGTCTTCTAACATTTTCCTAGTTTTGGGCAGTCTATCGCCTAGCTGGACTTCTGGACTCCCGAGTATATTGATGCCCTGGTTGACGACGATTTCCTTGACTTTCGTGGTTGTGGGCTCTCTCCTTCCTCCAGGGTGGTGACAGTGGGATATAACTCAAAGCTGGGGGTCTCGATTTGAGAGTACGGTGGTTTGTTGGTGGGGTAGCTTAGCGGGATTGCCATTCTTCTGAACGAGTTTTCCACCTTCTTTTGTCCCTCCTATACTCCCTATAGAACGGTTGTTGCTCCTCCACGAGATGAAGTAGCATTTGCCCAATAGTGTTGATGGAACGACTCCTAGCGTCAAACTGGAATGAATGTTCCAATTCCTCCCCAAGGATTCGTCCATTGTCAGATACATCTTGTTGGTTACCATTGCTTGCCATAACAGTCAAAAGTGGGATTAGAAATTTATAACTCCCACAGATGACGCCAGATTTTCAAGTGTGAACACCAATGCTTAGTGTATAGGCTAATAATCATATCTATAGAGCAAGTGAGAAAGATAACTGGAAATGATGGATTCAACACCTCTTAGTCAAAGTCCGGTGGCTAAACAACAAAAGGGTGTGTGTCGATATATTTTGGTGGGTGACAAAAGCTCTAGGCTAGAATATGTTTCAGTAATGTTGTTAATGTGAATTATTCCGAATTCACATTAACAAAAGTCGTAAACCCCAAATAAAAAGTAGAAAAAGATTAGAAAACAAATAAAAGAATGAATCAAAACTAAAACAGGTCATAAAATAGGATATAAAGAGCCTATCCCTGACAATCCGTAGACCACTGTTTTTCACTTTATTAAGTTTTTGCTATACTAATTTCACCCAAATAAATTCCAACCGACTTTTCTCTCTGCCATGCTCTTGATGACAAATTAGTTCATTAAATTTTGTCAAATCTAAATTAAGCTAATTACTATTAGTTCGGTAATAAAGTTTATGATTTTTCATTAATAATAATAGTAAAGAGACACTATTTGAGCACGGAAAATTTTGTTTCAAAAAATGAGGAAATGGCAGATAACTAAACAGGTTTCTGGTTAACAGTACACAGGAATGGGTAAAAGACAATTAATTGTAAATATTGTAGTGACACGTAAGTTGGTCTACATTTCGTGGAAACAACATTTTTACTGTTCAGCAATTCTCTTCTACTACCACTACTGCTACTAATTATAATGTTCGAGCCGCTGAAAAATGGAGTGGGGTGAAATGGAATGAGCATCTCATTCTTTTTCTAGATTACTTTCATCGTCGACAAGTTGAAGAGGTTCAATTTGGGTTTACTTGGGGAAGTGAACAAAATTTCTCATCCGAATATATATACAACACATTATAATGACACAATGATGTAGAGTTTAGTTCCCATCACTAGTTTAAGTAAAAATAATAGATACAAATTGAGATGAGAAGCTAAACAATACATAAACAGCATATTTACACATACTTGCCTGAAACTTCTGTTGGACAAAACCCTATGACTCCCCAATGCAAGTGATTTAATTTCCACAAGCATAGAATAAAGCACTTAAAATCATTCACCAGAACTCAGCCTCAGCGTATGTGCGTGAGATTTAGCTCCCACCTGCATCCACTGAAAAACCTCATACTCACATTTGTTTCCCATCAAGATGAAGATAACAAGGCAAACCACAATGAGAATAACAAAGAAAAAATGGTTGCTGCAAAACACAAATTATGCTAGACAACATGTTTGGCAAAGGATGACTTGAATTTAATAGAAACCCTGTACTTCAATTATGTAAAATTAAGTTGAGAAGTGAAGGAGCAATGATGAAAAAACATTATCTATTTGAAAACCAATGACAACTACAATTTAATTTAAAAAGAGTTAACAAGAATATCGCCATACTGAAGGAGGAGACAGTAAAAAAGATCCAGCACCATGATATCCCAATGTGAGTGTTAGAATACATACTTGTATAGGCTCTTTGTATATTTTTACCACATCGTGTAAATAGGGCCCAAGCCCATATAACTCATTATTATAAATATAATCCTTGTGTAGTCTCATTAGACACAATAATGAGTTACATAGGCTTGAGCCTTATTTACATGATGTGGTAAAAATATACAAAGAGCCTATACAAATATATATTCTAACAATAAGCATTTGCCAAGAATGACAAATAATTTGTCAAGTAATCAATAAGCTTGAGCTGTTAGGTGATGGCCACATTAATTTAAATGATATTTCTCTAACATAAGAGTCAATTGGGTTTGAAAGGTAAATAATGCATAGGCCCAACTATCCATGCTAGGAAAATCTATCATATTTAAGTATTTATTAATAGAATGGGGAGCGGTGAGGATTGAACTTGTTGATCATTTGGTCACACGAAAACTTTGATACCATGTCAAGCAATCACTTTGTAGCAATTCAATTCTAGAATTAGGGAGAGAGAAAAGAAGAAGGGAAAGATAGAGAGAATTGAGAGAGAAATCTGGAATTTTCTGATTGCCTTATTCAAAAGGAAAACCTACTACTTATAGTCTTCTCACATTACTATAATATTAAGGGCTTGAATATAAACTAACAATGATATAAAACTAGGCCCAATAGTCTTGGAACCTCTTAGGTAGCTGACTAATTCGTTTGGGCCGCATGGGCCTCGCTACATTATTCCCCTCATCAAGTTCGGCCTTGTCCTCAAGGCCCACTGGAACCAAGCCCACATGCTGATTATCTCTAGGGTTTGAAGGTGTAGGTAACGGTTGATTTGGGAGCAAAAGTTGGTGAGGTGGCATAGTATTTAATGGCACATGGGGCGGCGTCAGAGAAGTAATTGGGGTCTGTGATAGTGGTTGGGACGAGATAAGGGATTGGCCATTCTCATTGGCTGAAAATCCATGCGCAGGAATTTGATTGGATGGTGGGGATAGGGGCTTTAATGGCGTGGGCAGAAGCTTTAATGGAAAGGCAGGGGTTTGGGTAGGTGAGTGTGGTATACTGGTGTGTGGAAGGGTGTGAGCGGACTCTACAGATGACTCTCCCAAAACACCCTTCTGCTTGCTCAAAATTTCAACTTCCTCAGCACTCTCCCACGTTGAGCATTCCGGTGGTAAGTCCGACCACTGGACTAAGACCTGGTCAACCTCTTTGTCGCGTTTCCATACCTTTCTGGACGCGATAATGGCCACCGGAGTATGTGTTGGTGGCGTCTTCTCCGTGCTTTCCGGCAGAGGGTGAAGGACATACTGTCGGTCCGAGAAGAAAGGCTTTAACAGCGACACATGGAACACGGGGTGCACACGGGAACCATCTGGGATTTTCAGTCTATAAGCAACCGGACCTATCTTTGCCAAAACTTCGAACGGTCCATAGAACTTCAGTCCCAGTTTTGCAGAAGATCTCCGATGGACTGAGAGTTGTCTATACGGCCGGAGTCGAAGCAAAACCAAGTCACCAATCTCAAAGGTGATGTCTTTTCTCTTCTGATCAACATAATTTTTCATGAAGTTTCGTGCTTTTTTTAAGTTCTCTTTTAACTCCGCAAGAATCTGTGCTCGAGTGCGAAGATCTGAGTCCACAGCTTCGAGTGCACTAGATCCAAAAGAGTACTGCAACACACACGGCGGAGATCGTCCATATATGGCTGTAAACGGAGACGTGCCCAGCGATCTGTTAAAGGCGGTGTTGAAGTGATATTCGGCACAACTCAGATATCTCGCCCAAGTGGACGGTTGATCATACACATAGGCTCGAAGGTACTGCTCTAACACTCGGTTTGTTCTTTCGGTCTGTCCATCGCTTTGGGGGTGATAAGCAGAGGAAAAATTAAGAGTAGTCCCTTGTAGTCTGAAAAGGGTAGTCCAAAACTCACTTAAAAAGAGTGGATCTCTGTCTGAGACTATAGATCTAGGAGTACCATGTAGTTTGCCCACTGTGTCCCAAAAAACCCGGGCAACCTTAGTTGCTGTGTACCGTGATGGTAAAGGGGCAAAATGAGCTCCCTTAGTCAATCTGTCAGTTACGACAAAAATGGTTGTGTGTCCGTTAGATGGGGGTAACTGAGTAATGAAATCCATCGTCAGATCTGACCAAATAGATTCTGGTGTTGGTAGTGGTTGTAGTAGCCCATAAGGCGCATGGTTGGTTGCTTTGATCTATTGGCAGACTTCACAATTTTTAACAAAATTTCTAACATCTGTCCTTACTTTTCTCCAGGTAAAATTGGCACACAATCGCACCAATGTACGATGTACTCCCGCATGACCACCCAAGGCTGAGGAATGGTACTCGGAGAGAAGCTGGGGTATCAAAGTGGAAGCTGATGGCAGGAACAGACGGCCATGGTGATAGAGTAGTCCATTTTTATATTGCCATTGTGGCCATTGATTTATGGATGACTGTAATCCCCTAATAACCCCCATAGCATAGGTGTCTGCTTGTAATTCTGTCTGTAATATGGTGCTGTAGTTAGAAATGGGGCTCGTAAGGGCCTGCAATTGGGGAGAGTTATCCGGAGAGCTCTCTGCAGGTAATCGTGACAGTGCATCTGCGACACGATTTAATTTACCAGGCTTATAAGTAATACAATAATCATAACCCAGTAACTTGGCCAGGAACTGTTGTTGTTCCGGAGTCTGAATCACTTGAGTCATAAGGCAATGAAGACTCTGGTGATCAGTACGAATGACAAATTTTGCACCAAGTAAATATTGTCGCCACTTAGCAACCGCAGTCGTAATCGCAAATAACTCGCGAATATAAGTAGATTTACTTTGCATGAGAGTAGAGAGCTTGCGACTAAAGAAGGCTATAGGGTGCTCGGCTTGGAGCAAAACAGCACCAATGCCAACTCCTGAAGCATCTGTTTCAATAACGAATGGTGCTGTAAAATCAGGTAGGGCTAAGGTAGGAGTTGTAGTAAGTGACTCCTTGAGTTGCTGGAAAGCAAGATCAGCCTTTGGAGACCAAACAAACCCATCGCGAGTAAGTAAATCAGTTAATGGTCCAGCAATGGTAGCATACCCCTTAATAAAGCGTCTGTAGTAACCTGAAAGCCCCAAAAAGGCCCGTAGTTGTGTCTGGTTAGTTGGTAGGGGCCATTCCTTGATAGCCTGTATCTTAGAATCATCAGGAGAAACCCCTCTGGAGGAAATAACGTGGCCAAGAAATTCGACAGTAGGTTGCGCAAAACTGCATTTAGATGACTTGACAAATAGAGTATGAGTCCGAAGAATCTGCAGAACTTGGGAAAGATGCTGCAAATGGGCCTGCAAAGTTGGGCTATAAACTAAAATATCGTCAAAAAAAACCACAACAAATTTTCGTAAAAGAGATGTGAATATTTCATTCATAGTGGCCTGAAAGGAGGAGGGAGCATTGGTAAGCCCAAACGGCATAACCACGAACTCAAAGTGACCATGGTGAGTTCTGAAGGCCGTTTTATAAATGTCCTCTGGGTGCATCTTGATCTGATGGTAGCCAGAGCGAAGATCTAACTTAGAAAATACTGTTGCTCCATGTAACTCATCTAATAGTTCATCCACTGTAGGTATCGGGAATTTGTCTTTAATAGTGACAGCATTAAGGGCACGGTAATCAACACAGAATCTCCACGTGCCATCCTTCTTCTTAACCAACAAAACAGGAGAACTATAGTCTGAGTGACTGGTGCGAATGACACCACTTGCAAGCATTTCTTGAACCAGGCGTTCAATTTCAGATTTCTGGAAGTGGGGATATCGATAGGGGCGGACTTGGACTGGTTTAGTATTGGGTAGAAGATGAATATGATGGTTGTGGGTTCTGTCGGGAGGGAGATGAATGGGTGTAGCAAAAACATCACAATAGCTGGATAGTAATGCTGCCACGGTAGGTATAGGATGGTTGGATAAGGATGAATTTGGTGTAGAGGTGTGTTGGGATTCAGAGGTTGAGGTGGAGCTTAGGTACATCAAGCAAGATGTAAAACCGTCATGAGAAGCCAACTTAGATAGCTGAGCTGGTGTAATGGCACTTGGTGAAATGGATGTGTCACCTTGTAAAACTATAGCAATGTTAGAGCGGTGGAATGACATAGTCATAGATGCATAATCGGTGAGCACAGGACCCAACGTGGCTAACCACTGTATGCCCAATACCACGTCTGCTCCTTTCAAGTCTAAAAGGAATAATTCCATGGAAAATAAGTGGGATTGCATAAGCAGAGGAACTGCTGTACATACAGCCTGGCAATGCATAGAATCACCATTTCCAATCTGGACGTGAAAAGCAGAAATGGAATGTAGTGTAAGTGACAAATGTGAAGCCATACGATGAGAGATAAAATTATGGGTACTCCCCGAATCAATTAGAATTTGTACATTCTGCCCATGGATTGATCCTTTCAAACGAAACGAATGAGAGGAGTGATGTCCGAACATAGCATTTAGGCTGATTTCAGGTGTAATTTCGGTGGGTATATCTTGTTGGGGTAGTGGTGTTTCGGGTTGTTCTGGTTCTCTGATATCATCATCCTCCGTACCAGCTAAATATAATAGTGTTGCCTTGCCTTTGCACTTGTGACCGAATGTATAACGTTCATCACAGTTATAACAGAGATTTCGGTCTCTCCTAGCTTGCATTTCAGCAGGGGTCAATTTCTTGATAGGAATGGTAGGGATGGAATCTGGAGGTTTTGGTTTAGGGGGTAACAGTGTAGAAGGAGGGGGAAGATTTGTTGGTAAGGGTGATTTTGTCACCCAGGGGCGAGTAGAGCGTTCCTCTGTAAATTGTTCTTCAAATAAACGGGCCAAGGCAAAAGATCCATGTAAATCTACCGGCTTCATGGTCAATACCGAACGCCTAATTCGCGGTTTCAGTCCGCTAATAAACATGCTCTTAAGAAGTGCTGGTGTAAGATCAGGAACTTTACTAGCAAGGTCCTCAAAACTGATCTGATAGTCATTTACAGTGCCAATCTGAGTCAGTTTGGTTAACATACCAGCAGAATCTTCGAAATCTGTAGGGCCAAAACGTTGCTGCAATGCAACTGTAAAAACACGCCATGAAGTACAAAGGCCATCTCGATTCAGCCCTTGAAACCAGCGAGCAGCAGGAGAATCTAGGTGAAACGAAGCAAGTAATAACCGTTCACCATCAGGGATTTCATGATAGAGACAGTAACGATCCACAACAAAAAGCCAATCTGTGGGATCGCCTGACGCAAATCGTGGAAAAGCTAGTCGTGGCCGCTGTGCGCGAGGTTGCTGTGTCGCCGCAGAAGAGGAAGATGCAGTTATACCCGGTCCAGATCCAAGAATACCAGAAGAAGATATTCGGACAGATTCAATCAGATTCGTTACTTCAGACTGCAGATCAACGCGCAGACCTTGTATCTTTTCTCTAATCAGATCTGGAATCTGGAGCTGTTGTTGTTGTAATTCTTGCAACTGATTTTGCAGATCTTTGTAACGTGTTTCAGCCATGAGCGATGTTTGAGTAGCATGAACTCAATGAAGGCACCAATGTAGCAATTCAATTCTAGAATTAGGGAGAGAGAAAAGAAGAAGGGAAAGATAGAGAGAATTGAGAGAGAAATCTGGAATTTTCTGATTGCCTTATTCAAAAGGAAAACCTACTACTTATAGTCTTCTCACATTACTATAATATTAAGGGCTTGAATATAAACTAACAATGATATAAAACTAGGCCCAATAGTCTTGGAACCTTTTAGGTAGCTGACTAATTCGTTTGGGCCGCATGGGCCTCGCTACACACTTCAACCAAAAGTTATTAGATGAAGGCCATATTAATGGTTTTATATCATATTTATTAAAATTCAAAATGACCTACTCGTGGATCTTTTCACCAATGCATTACTATTTTTTTGTATATTAATTTCTTTTTTTGTATATAATGCATTACTATTTTATTAAACAAATACATATAGATTTCCCTATTTCATTGATTAGCTCAATTACCAGATTCACGATTAACTGCATCTACAGGGCATGGCAATCAAGTAGTCAAGCTATTTAAGGATTCATTTCATATTCAAGAGTGTTAATGCCACTGGCAGCTATTGAGATACTAAGTTTTTTCAGCATCTTTTAGAAAAAGCATCAAGTGTTCTAGACAATGAAACCGTAAAGTGGAGTAAATACAATGCATCAATTTATGTTGGATTCAATAGTAAGAGCAAGATAAAACGCTATATTAATCAAGGGATATATTTTTCTTATGTTGTAGGAAAAAAACTACCTCCTGTTGTAGAAATAAAGTATAAGTGGGACCCACAGATAAGAGGAGAGAGAAAAAGAGTGGTGGGACCCAACCCCTTTTTGTGTGTGTAGGAGAGTTGTTTATCTCATGTAAAATGAGATAAACATAACTCATTAATCAATTAAACATAAATTCTGCTTCAACTAATAAACAAGGCTATAAATATGAGTTGAATGACGAACAGCGTAGGATTTGCCCCCCCCCCCAGATAAGAGAGAGAAAAAAGAGTGGTGGGACCCAATCCCTTTTTGTGTGTGTAGGAGAGTTGTTTATCTCATTTAAAATGAGATAAACATAACCCGTTAATCAATTAAACATAAATTCTGCTTCAACTAATAAACAAGGCTATAAATATGAGTTGAATGACGAACAGCGTAGGATTTGCCCCACATTATATTCTAATAAGTTTATGATCAAAATCAATTATTAATATTGAACTGATATTTTGTTGCCCCAAATTTACTGTTTATGACGCAGAACTAGACCATAGCCTTCAGAGGCTTGAACCTCACATATCCTAATCTATATTTCTCAGAATAATGGAAACAAACCATGTTAGCAATATGCATTACTTCATAAGCTGATTCTAGCACGTAATATATATAAGGACAAGTAGCTGAAGACTGGAAAACATACCCAAATTTATACAAAACTTACAATAATAACAACTACAATAAACAGTATCTTACCTTGGATTTCACTAGAGTGAGAAGCCAGGTCAGACGACATATTTGATGCTCTGTGGGATATAGGTGTTAGTGGAGGTGATGCAGCTTCTTCGACCTTCTCTGGAACTTGGGGAGTATCCAAATACTTAGTATTTGTAACATTTAATGCCATAGCTCTCTGACTACTAGTGGGTATAGAAAAACTCCGAGAGACAATTATAGGCGGAGTTGGAAGTGGAGATGCCGCACTTGAGACAATGGAAGGAAATCTATTAGTGGCAGGATGCTCTGGATTTCTGAATACTAATGGAGCGGAGTGACCTATTCGAGAAGATTTCACTGGCTTGCTGGATTGATTACCAGGTGGTCTAGGAAGCTCATGAAGCTCACTTATTCTAGGTGAAGAAACAAGGGGAGGTGAAGCATTAGGAGATGCTTTTGGAGATGAAGGCTGGGGCATTGGTAAACGTGGAAAACCCCCAGAAATAGGCTTTACTGACAATGGTTTATTAGTCAATGGACCAGAAAAAGCCTGTCTTTTTATTTTCTTAGTATCAGAAGCATTGAAAATATCAACTTGTAGAAGTGATGTTCCCTCTGCCAAAGGGCGTGGTAACTGGGTGGATGTAGTATCACTGTTGCTTTCTTTGAGAACAGAGTGAGCTCTAGGGATAGTTGGTTCTGACAATTTACCATCAACAAAATCTTTCTCTTTCTTTTTTTCATCCAAAGGGGAGGAATGCCACAAATTATGCAAAGATCCACTAGCACTTGTGCGGGAGGCTGAGCTAGTTTTTGTTTCTTTGACGTTGACAGGTGTAGGAAGTACATAAGCATTAGATTTTGTTGTAGATGATGATAACATTTGTCTTACTTTTTCAGCTGGGTCAAATTTCTTTTCTGCAAATATTGGAGCTGAATAGCTGCTTACTCTAGGATCTCTACTTGAGACTCTAAAATCTCCTTGGTTCTTGTCTAAATTTGTCTGCCAGAAGTCGAGTTAATAGATGTGTTAGAGGATGACCTTAGTCAAATTAAAGAATATTTTTCAACTGATGACCTGCTAGATCAAGGGGACAATGAGAATTAAAATAGTCATCGTTACAATGCTAGACCAATACCCTTAAAATTAGATCTCAAAATGATACCTTCAGAGCTTACCCTAAATATTAAGATATTTTTGGATAAAATATTTAGAAATATGATAAATTTGATTTGTGATCTTTTATTAGTTCTACGGGAGATTGAGAAACTTATTTGCCTGGATTTTTCTATACAACTGATTTAAGATTTAAATAGGAGTTTCAAATTGAATAAATCAAAAGTAGTAACAAATATAACCTCTGCAGTTTCTGTGGTTGAAGCACGAACATATGAATGACCTGATTCTTCCACCTGCTAATCATCATCAATGATTATGATAAGATGATTTAATAACTCAGATTGTAAAAAAAATAATGGTACTATGCTTTTAATGTTGGAGTTAGGCATAGGCTATAGATGTAAACAAGTATAAAATAACAACAGAGTTAAATTAAAACCATACAAGTTTTGAGTAATATCAAATTCCTACCTCTGCTGAGTTTGGTGACATGGAAACAATATATGGCACTTGCTTATCTGATCTGTACTCAAAACTCAATTCACCACCTTCAGTGACATCACAGCTATTCCCACCATCATCATAACCATCTTCACCGTCATCATCTTCAAGAGCACTGAATTGGTAATCAATATGTTGCTGTTCAGCAACCATCCTAACATGTGGCTCAACAGCCTCCAGTGATTTAAGTCCCTTCCGAAAGAAATTCAACTATATTTGAAGCAGAACAAGAGGAAAAGAGATACATCAAGATTAGTCTGAAAAAAGGATAAAAGATTTGGAGAAGAAAGGTCATAAGTTTAACAAAACCTGAGCAGCATGGTGACGAGCTGCTTGTGTTAGGAGACTACGTGACTGGCCTTGCTTCAAGGATTTCAACCGAAAAGCACAGAGTTTTGCTTCCTCTTCATATTCATCATGAGCAGCTTGCAGCTGCTGTATAGTGATACTTTCACCTTTACCACTTTTTGACCTTCCTTTCTCTTTTTGTTGGGTAATCATGTATTCATAAACTTCTCTGAAGGAAATACAACAGATTCAGGAAATATTCATACTATGTTAAGAAAAATAATAGTATGTTAAGAAAAATAATAGCATTTATAAGTAGGGACCTTTTTTCATCACATTGCCGCTTCATGTCCTGCAGGAGGAATAGAAAGGCATTGAGATGTAGTACCAAGACAATTATACAGCAGCAAAATCAATACATTTCCAAAGTAAAAGGCAATCTATATGGTTCCAAAAAGCATCAAGGAGACATAGTTTTTGGAAAGCCAAGCTTAAAATTAGAGAGGATAAAAAAACTGATCACTTTTTAAAAAGTAGTTTATTTATTGGATAAATTTTTCGATATTCAGATCTGTGTTCCCTCTTCTTCTTCTCCTCCCTCAAATACCTTACATACAATGGCCTAACAAATCCTTCTTCTTCAAGACAATTATATAATAAAATTATACAGCAGCAAAATCAATACATTTCCAAAGTACAAGGCAATATATATTGGAAAGCCAAGCTTAAAATTAGAGAGGATAAAAAACTGAACTCTTTTCCAAAAGTAGTTTATTTATTGGATAAATGGTTCAATATTCAGATCTGTCTTCTATTTCTTCTTCTTCAACAAATCCTCCACATATCAACTTCAAATGTATGACGTCAGTAACTATTTCCCAAGTACTTCATAGGAGTAACATATAAAAATTCAAATATAGGTTTCTCTACCATTCATTTCCCAACCAAACTTTTACCCATACCAATAATTATCCTCCAATCCACTTGTTCTCCAACTATGAAAATTCAAGATGAAAACATACACTTAAAATTGAGGAAATTGTGGGTTGTATGACCACACAAGGACTATATTTATAATAATAAGATACACAGGCTTGGCCCTATTTAAATGATTATAACATCATAAAATTCTAATTAATTTGGATCATATCTAATCCTATCTAACATTATTTAATATTCTAATATTCTAACACTCCCCCTCAAGTTTGTGCATATATATCATGTATGTCAAGCTTGCTATAGATATAGTCTACTCAGGGACCTCTAAGTGCCTTGGCGAATATATATATAAGTTGATTATTGGAATTTACGAATGTTGTCTCGATTTCTCCAGACTGAATCTTTTCTCGGATAAAGTAGCAATCGATTTTGATATGTTTGGTCCTTTCATGAAAGACCAGGTTAAAAGATATGTGTAATGTTGCCTGATTGTCACAAAGAGTTTCATCAGACATTGTTCATAGAGACATAGTTCTTTAATTAATTTTTTTAACCAGATTAGCTCCATGTTGCAGCTACCATTGCTCGATACTCACCCTTTGCGCTTGATCTGGCTACTATGATTTGCTTCTTATTCTTCCAAGAAATCATATTTCCCCCAAATAGGACATAGTAGCCCGAAGTAGATGTCTATCTGAAGGAGATGAGAGATCCTACCCAATCAGCATCTGATTAGCTACAAACCTCAGCATGCCCCTTATCTTTATATAATAAGCACTTCTTTGGTGCTCTTTTGATGTATCAAAGAATTTTGACAACGGTGCCGCAATGGGAATCACAAGGAGAATCAAGGAATTGGTTGGCCACATTAACTGCGAAAGAGATATCTGTTCTTGTTACAAATAATTCAACTTCCCTGCCAATCTTCAATAATGACTAGGATCAGCGAGAGGCTCCCCCTCTCCTAGTAGAAGCTTAACATTAGGATCCAAGGGTGAATCAATAGGCTTGCATCCCAATATACCAATCTCTTCCAAAATACCTAAGGCATACTTTCTCTAACATATGGAAATACCCTACCTTGATTGTGCCACCTCAATACCTAAGAAATAACGGAGCTTACCAAGATCTTTGGTTTGAAATTGACTGAACAAGTAAAGTTTCAACTATTCAATTCCAATTCGATCCTTGCCAGTGACGATAATGTCGTCAACATAGATTAAGAGATAGTTGCATTGATCAAAAGAACTACGACGAGAGAAAACAAAGTGGTTGGCTTCGCTACAAGATAGCCAAAAAGCTTGAACAACTAAATTGAAGTGACTAAACCAAGCTCAAGGTGATTGCTTCAAGTCATATGAAGATTTGCGAAGCTTGCATAATAGGCCAGGCTCCCCCTAAGCATCAAAGTCGGGCGATTGCTCCATGTAAACTTCCTCCTATAAATCACCATGTAAGAAGACATTTTTAATATCAAGTTGAAGAATGGGTTAGTGACGAACGACAACAAGGGCAAAAAATAGACAAACAGTGGCCATCTTGGCAACAGGAGAGAAGGTATCCCCATAATCGAGTACAAACATTTGAGTGTATGCCTTACCCACTAAGCAGGCTTTGATCAGAACCAACTTTAATTGTGAACACCCTGTAACATGCAACCACAGATTTGCCTAGACGAGCAAGAACAAAATCCCATGTGCCATTAGAGTGTACAGCAGTCATTTCATCAATCATCACCCGATGCCAACCTAGATGAGATAGTGTTTGACCTGTGGTTTTAGGAATTATTGAGATATATAGTCCCACATTGGTTGTATGTGCAACTAATGTGGAGTTTATAAGGCCTTGGACACTCCCACCCTTTGAGCTAGCTTTTAAGGTGGTGTATCCCAAGGTTCTTTACATGGTATCAGAGCCTCGCCGCCCCTCACTTTCTCTTGTGGCGTTTCTTAGCACAGGTAGGTTGGGCCTATTGCATTGTCCACTCTTCAAACCCAATGGGCTCTCGTGTGAGGGGGCGTGTTGAGATATATAGTCCCACATTGGTTGTATGTGCAACTAATGTAGAGTTTATAAGGTCTTGGCCACTCCCACCTTTTGAGCTAGCTTTTGGGGTGGTGTATCCCAAGGTTCTTTACATGGTATCAGAGCCTCGCCGTCCCCCACTTTCTCTTGTGAGTTTCTTAGCACAGGTAGGCTGAGCCTGTTGCATTGTCCACTCTTCAAGCCCAATGGGCTCTTGTGTGAGAGGGCGTATTGAGATATATAGTTCCACATTGGTTGTATGAGCAACTAATGTGGAATTTATAAGGCTTTGGGCACTCCCACCCTTTGAGCTAGCTTTTGGGGTGGTGACCTCAAGGTTCTTTACATAGTATCAAAGCCTCGCCGCCCCCCACTTTCTCTTGTGGCATTTCTTAGCACAGGTAGGTTGGGCCTGTTGCATTGTCCACTCTTCAAGCCCAATAGGCTCTCGTGTGAGGGGGCGTGTTAAGATATATAGTCCCACATTGGTTGTATGTGCAACTAATGTGAGGTCTTGGGCACTCCCACCCTTAGAGCTAGCTTTTGGGGTGGTGTATCCCAAGATTCTTTACATGCTATCAGAGCCTCGCCGCCCCCCACTTTCCCTTGTGGACTTTCTTAGCACAGGTAGGCTGGGCCTGTTGCATCTTCCACTCTTCAAGCCCAATAGGCTCTTGTGTGAGGGGGCGTGTTGAGATATATAGTCCCACATTGGTTGTATGTGCAATTAATGTGGAATTTATAAGGCCTTGGACACTCTCACCCTTTGAGCTAGCTTTTGGGGTGGTGTATCCCAAGATTCTTTACATGGTATCAGAGCTTAAGGTTTTGGGTTGAATTGGTTCTTTACAGGAATGAAAACAAAAGAAAACGCCGATCATAACTCAAAAAGGCATAAAGAGGATGAGGATTGCGAGTGGAGCAAATACCTTTACGACGAGCAATTGGAGTCGTTTCTCGTAGAGCCAAAAGGGATGGGACGATAGGGGAAGATGGAGAGCCGGTAGGGCAAGGTCTAAAGTAGATCTAGCACCCGTGGGTGATTGCAAATGACGCTAATAGGTGAGTAATGGACGATCCTAAAAACCAAATGTACCTGCAGCCGATAAAGAAGAATTAAGAAAAGGAATATGGAGAATATAATCAACCTCAGACACCAAAGTGTGCGAAGAGTAGCAAGGTTGCTGATCAAGGAATGCGACATTAGCAGACACAATGTAACGCTTGAGGTCAGGAGAGTAGCAACGATGGCCCTTTTGAAGACGTGAGTAACTAAGGAATAGACACTTGAAAGCTTTGGATGTTAGTTTGTCCTTGCCTAGAATGAGATCATGTGCAAAGCAGGTACAACCAAAGATATAGAGCAAAAGGATACCTGGGGTGTCAGGAACATGATACTATGAGGAACCTCATTGTTAAGCACGAAAGAGGGCCATGCGATTGATCAGAAACATGATGTAAGAACAGCATCCCCCCAAAAACGAAAGTGGAACATACGTATGCAGAAGAAGGGTGTGCATTGTTTCAACCAAGTGTCTGTTTTTGCGTTCGGCAACTCCATTTTGCAGTGGTGTTTGAGGACTAGTCTAATGCAAGGTGCCCTGTTTAGCCAAACAATCTAATATTTCAATGGATAAATATTATTTAGCATTGTCACTACATAAAAAATTGACAAACCGGAGCAGTGGTAAAATTGTTCTTTTATGACTAAAAGGTCATGGGTCCAAATCTAGGAAACAGCCTCTTTGTAATTATGCAAGGGTAAGGCTGCGTACAAGGAATTCCTCCACCCCACGCATGCTAGTCGGGTTCAACGGGGAGTGATTTTTTATTGTCACTACATAAAATCCGAATAGAAGAGCCAAATTAAGTACAAATTTAAGCACAAATTTTTTTATGAATAGAAAATAACTCGGAATGGTTTTTCTTTAAGTAAACCCAAGTGTAACAAGAAAAGTCATCAATATAGGTAACAACATATTGGAAACCAGAAATAGACATGATTTGACTCGGACCCCAAATATAAGAATGAACAATAGAAAAATGAGCATTAGCTCGTTTATTGACTCTATTGACAGAGGAGGAGCAAGTGTGTTTCCTGCTGATAAGACTGACAATCTAAAGACTTCAGATCAGTTAAAAAAGAAACCATCTGCTTAAATATGGAAAGGCTCGGGTGACCAAGACGGCTGTGAATGAGCTTTGGAGACTCGACAATAGAGCATGCCACTAAGGAACTACGCAAAACGTGATGGTAAAGGCCACCTGACTCACGTCACACGCCAATCATCCAAACCATACCCAAATCCTGCACAGAAACTGAATTATTAGAAAAATCAATGGAGCATGAAAGAGAACGAGCTAACTGATATTAAATTAAAAGGACATCCAGGAACATAATGAACAGATATCAAGGGTAGAAAAGGATATGGACGGGCTTGTCCAATACCACGAACAGAGGCTGTATTTCCATTGACAAGAGTAACAAAGGATAAATCATCAGAATAAATGAGAGAAGTAAAGAGATTCTTATTCCTACAAAGATGATCAATAGCACCTGAGTAATTATCCAAAGCCCAATGGGTGATTAAAATAGACAAGCAACAAGATTACCAGCTTCAGAGCTGGAGGCCGGGAAGCTGCCTTAAGTCAAAGGAAAGCCTCATAATCTCTAGTAGAAATAGTCACTGATCCTGCAGAGGGTGGTGCATTGTCAGTCGGAGCAAAGTTGGTAGTGGGTGGTTGGAGATGAGGATATTTTCAATAGTCACGCTCCTTGATATGGCCCAAGTTTTGACAATAGTTGTAGCAAAGCCCCTGTCCATGACCACCTTGTCCTCAACCATGACTGCGACCATTGATCTCGCTAAAGTCCCGAGTACGAGAGACGAGAGTAGTGGAAACTGAGGAAGGCACAGCCAAAGAAGTGACGTTGGGGCTGTCAAATCCTTATCCTCAAGATTCAATAAGTGTTCGAATGTCGGTGATAAGGTGGGAGTTTCAGCATTGGTCAAATTCTATTGGCGAACGCCATTAAACTCTTCTACAAGGCCGAAAAGCACCACAACCATTAAGAAGCACTCAAGCTGCTTCTTATGCTCAGATGGACCCTTAGTAGGGGGTAGCATAGCAGAAAATTCCTGTATCAAAAATCGAATCTTACCTAGATAAGTTTCCACCCCCGTGTCCGATGATTTCCGTACCTCTATTATACGAGAGTCAATTAAATAAAGTTGTTGAAAGTCATATGTGCTGCAACTTTTGGCTTTCTCCCGCACCTCATCACATGTCTTGAAGGGAATGAAGAGTTCAAAGATTTTTGGATCAATGGACTACCAAAATAGAATATAACAGAATTTTGGCTGCCGCAGAAATAGTTGGCACATGTGAGAGCATCTGGTGGCTTTTAGGCAACGAAATTGGATAACAACGTAGATCATCCTGAGGCAGTCCTGATGAGGTGTTCACCTATCGGAAAGGTTGCCAGAAAATTTTTACAAAAGCGACAGTTGGAAAGGCAGCTTCGATCGACAAATAACAGTGGTTGGAAGGATGCACGACCAATAATATGCTACCGGAAAGACTCTCAAAGGAGGTCACCGGTGTGATGCATGGGAAGGAATAACAATATACAAAATTAAGGTTTTGCTGAAGCAAGGTTTCCTAGAGCGTGAAATCCGGTACAAACTAAAAATTAAGGAAATTATGTGTTGTATAACCACACAACGATTATATTTATAATAAGATAACGGGTTTAGCCTTTTCTACATGATGACAAATTATCTAAAATTCTAATATAATTTGGATCCCATCTAACATTAATATTCTAACAAATATCAACTTCAAATAAATGAAGTCGATCATTATTTCCCTATTACTTCATAGCAGGATCACATAAACATTCAAGTATAGGTTTCTCTACATTCATTTCCCAACCAAACTTCTACACGTACCAAAAATTATCCTCCAATCCACTTGTTCTCCAACTATGAAAATTCAAGATAAAAGCTTTAAGCAATTATTCCTATTATGAAAGAAACTACAAGTATTCTTGTACCTGCTATGAAGTTGGCAAGTTGTATCCCAAATTGTGAGATCTTGTGTTCAGTTGCAACTTGCAACGATTACAATTATACTTACTAATATTATGTACGGATATATGCTTTAAGACAAAAATTGGATTTTGTGTATATTACAAGAAACCAAATGCTTTATAAAAAATCCTTTCATCAATAGCAGCTTCAAAATACATTTGAGAAACACTGAACTACAGTTTTTCCTAAGCAACATCTTGCAGAAGGCATAACCTAACAACTTCTGAAAATATCAATATTCACAAATTCAATGTGAGTAGAAGATAGCTTAAAAGAGCAGCATGGATGTGAGAGCAAGAAACAGTCATATTTTCATACACTACCAACTAATGGATGCGTGCATAATGGCACTGGCTTCACACTACGAGGAGACAATCAATTTCCCGCAAAAAGATCTCAATTAGGAAAAAGTGATATTGCAATAATTTCAAAAGTAAAGCACTTTGACAAGGGTATGTCCTATGCGTATGAGCCTCCTGAGATTCATTCCAGATTATTCATTACACAACAGGAAAGAAAAGATCACATGAAACTATGACATCTCGTATCAACATTATATATAGATGGACATGTATGCTCATTAAACCAGGTCTGGAGGCAATAAATAACCACTCAGAATATGTTGTCTACATATATAAACTTGTAATGTGAAAGGATGATATTTCAGTAACATCCCCCCCCCCCCAGCTGCCGCCATGCCATGTGTTACTATAAGTCCTGATACATTATCTTCTATTAATTGTTCATTGTTGTACACTCATAGGAATCCACATTTTCTAGTAATTATTTAGTAATGGCGAGAAATAACTAAAATAAAAGTGTAATGAATTAAATGAGGGAAAAGTGGAAAACAATGAGAGGACAAATGTATGGCATTAACCAAGTAGAGCCTGAAGGGTGTTTTAAGAAAAATAAATAGATAAATCTTATAAATATGAAGGTAAATAAACATACCTCAACAGTTCTTAGCTCATTAAGAAGAGATTCCGATGGTTTAGTTATTGTCAGTACTATGTGAGAACGCTGAGGAACAGATAGGTTAGATAAACATTTTGCAAATGAACTATGCTAAAAGAAGAACAAAAAAACCACAGATGCACCCAAACAAAGGCTCACATAGCTATCAAGAAGTTTCTGAAGTTCAAGCTGCACACTTCCAAGCATCCCCAAAACTTTACCTGCAAAAAGTTCGTAACATAACTGTAGCAACAACTATACATAATTTAAATCAATTAGCATAAATGCTGAGTAACTTGGATAAGGCAGTCATGAAATGTTTACCCACTCACCACTTTCTTCATCATCATTTAAGGCCGTTTTCTCCATTAGACAAGTACCCATTTCCTGCAGCGACTCAGCAAATTCTGGAACACATAAACACAAGAAAAGATACCCTAGAGACTTTAATATTTTCAAGGCAGTAAAACTGATCTATAAAAGACTCTTAAAAACATTTAAAAAAAAAAACTAACTAGACAACTTTAATATGTTTGACTAATGATCAATAAAGATAATATAGCGTACAGGCAGTAAGAGGATACCCTAGAGAGAAAAGACCTTTGATGTTTTCAAGTGCCTCCACACTACTATCTCACTACATTTTAAAGGTAGTTGCAGCACACGATTTCAATAAGAACAAGAAGGCATGCCTGAGGCAGGAGTACAAGTTCAACATTATGAGATGTTCCCCCATTTGGGGTATGGATGGAAGTGCTGGGCTTAATTGATAGTAAGAGGATACCCTAGAGAGAAAAGACCTTTGATGTTTTCAAGTGCCTCCACACTACTATCTCACTACATTTTAAAGGTAGTTGCAGCACACGATTTCAATAAGAACAAGAAGGCATGCCTGAGGCAGGAGTACAAGTTCAACATTATGAGATGTTCCCCCATTTGGGGTATGGATGGAAGTGCTGGGCTTAATTGATAGTGCAGAAGACCATACCGCCCATGGACAATGGCAGTTGGAAATGTACACCTATCTTAAATTGTTGGAGACATTATATATGACAAGTACAGAAAACAAATTGCATATCCAATTTGTAACTTCATATTTTGGAGACATGTATGAGGAATACAGAAAAAAAAATGCACATCTACTTCCTAAGTTTTGAAGACCTGATATGTGAGGAACAAAGAGAACCAGATGACCTATGAACTGAGTTTCAAAGTATAATGTTTACCGTAAGCACTGTTCTCCGTAGCAGCAGCTGCAGAAAGCAGATTATCATAGCAATCTCTCATCTCTTGCATGTCCTGCAAAATGGTTAAGGAAACCCGCAATGTCACTAGAATTAGTAAGCCAGATAGAAGAAATTGGGCATGAGATTTTTGTACATTTTCAACCAACTTCCCATTACCACACTCATTTCTGACATTATAAGCCTGAAACTACAACTATTAGATCGTTAATCGGGCCCGAGAATATAACAAAGCCATGATTCCGATGACCAATTTTTCATACAAAACACATTATCCAAGTGTTATATCTAGAACAAAAACCCCTTACCAATTACAATTTTTCATTACTGACAATAAGGTTAACAGCTAGTACTGATTTCACTTTTTTTTTCTACAGAAATTTGTCAAAAAAAATAAAAAAATTCACTACAGAAACAGAATACAGTCTACCAGACATTATGAACTTCACGTGACCAGGTGTGATTTGAGGAGGATATGAGCAAAACGCATAAAACTAAACGCAACGAAAATCAATTCTTCAAATTCAAACATTTAAGGAATCATATATAGGGAAAAAAGAGAGAAGAAGAAGCCAATTCGATGCTGCAACCACAAATAGTAACATCAGATTTAGAAAGAGAGAGTAGCAGAAGTACCTTAGCAGCGAGAGCAAGCTCATCGAACTTCACGGAGGGCTGAAGCTCCCACTTCTCCTTCCCAACGCTCTTGTGAAGAGCAATTCTCCTCAACTTGCTCAGCGAGGACTTCATTTTCCACTCTAAAGCCGCAAAACGACGCCGAGACAGCGCAAAACGGCAATGAAATAACAAGAAAGGGAAAACGAGAGAGAGAGAGAGAGAGAGAGAGAGAGAGAGAGGTGTTGGTTATTAGGTGGGAATTGAGTGAATCGCGGAGAAAGAGAATCTCAGGAGAGAATCGAAGGAGTAAAGTGTGGGAATGAATTGCAGAGTGTTAAGGACATTGAAGAACGGTGGGTCGTTTGGTTTTTTGGTTTGGGTCAAAAGGACGGACCCGAGGCAGATCAACAAGTGAGAGAGAGAGAGAGAGAGACGGAGCGTTGCGAAACGCGAAAACTGGGGCATCACTCCAACGTCACGCTCCCAAGCCCACAACACAACCCGCACGCTTCCCCACCTGGCTACACGTGTGCCACTCTGCACCATGGGCCATTTCGTAATTGCCCTAACATGGTATTCCGGTCCTAACACTTACTTAATGCGTCTCACGTAATCTCACCAAGTATCTTATATTAAAAGTAACAATTTTTAACATCGTCAGCTAATACCGCATAAATACAATGGGAAATGATGTTGTTATGCTACAGTTAAAAAAAAAGTAGTATTTTCGTAGGGAAAAGTGTGTATCATTTTAAAGGTAAAGTTGTGTTATTTTAAGTGAGCGAAAGAGATAGATAAAGGAGGAGAGAGAGTGAACAGAAAAATATAAAGGTGTGGGTCTCACCTCTTTGTAAGAGTAAAAGGATATAAATTATGTCGTTTAAAAGGACAAATATTTTTTTATCTCTGTAAATAATAAAATTGAATGTTATATTTTTTCTCTTATTTTAATTTATTTTTTCTCTTTTATTTTTTCTATCAGTAGGAACAAAATACTGTTTTCCTACAAAAGGAGAATAGTATTCCCCAAATACAATATTAGAAATTTGTGTTTATGTTAATAAAAATTTTGTTTAAATCAAATATTTTGATTCATTTTTGTATTCACATTAAATATATTTATATTCATATTGAGTTTGTATAAATATATTTAATTGAATTTGTATTGAAGATTATTTCATATCAACCCAAATTACCATTCCAATAATTTGAAATAATAGCTTGGTTTACCACTTGGGGGTTTATCATGATTTTTCCTTTCAAACTTGTTAGAAATAGCGTAAATATTTTGATACTGAGTTAGGGATAATAATTAATAAGCTACGGATCATTCATTGTTAACTAATTGCTATCTCACTAAGCTTATGCTTAGTTATTGATATCTTTGTTATTTAATTTGGTATTAGGGTAGTAAAAGGCAATATTGAAAGTGGATATTTCATGTTAAAAATGTATATGGTCATATGAAATTTTATGTTTATATTCTTTTTACATATATTAATTAAATGAGATTCAATTATAATATTTTAATATTAATACGAAAATAGAAAAAATTTACATAATTTCGTATAAAATTTAAACATGAAAATAATTTATTCTCAAGCCCTGCTAAAACAGTGCCCACTCGTGACAAAACCAATCTAAGTAAATATATATTATGTCATGAAGTTCCTTCGACAACCGTTGGTCGCTGGCCCATTCAGTTGCCGGCAATCATCTGCTGCCGGCATTCACCGCGGGCATCAAATTATTAACATTTAAGTTATTAATAATATATTAATAATTTATTTATCTAAAATATAAAAAAATTTATGTTATATGAGATAAAATTATCTCATGTACAAAAAAAAAAGTAAAATTCATTGAAAAGAAGAAAAAAAATTTATTTACTTTTATATATATATACATAAAATAAATTTATCTTATGAGAAATTATATTCGCTTAAGATATTTGTCCCAAGGACACCAAATTTGTACTATTTTTCGGTGACCAAGTTTTTTGTTACAATGGTGAAGGAGTCAACGGTCAGAGATAGAGATAGTATGAAACAAGGAAATGAAGCGGTTCTATGGAACGAAAATTTTGAACGTTACTTTGACTGACAGTGTAGGGTCAGATTCAGATACCCACCTCATGTCATATATATGCTTTTTTAACATTTTTGCGCTTTCGTTTTTCTTCCAAGAATCAATCAATAAATATCTACAAACTCCAAATAAAAGATAAGTAGTTATATAAATTTTGTATATGTAAGTTGAGCACATTAAATCAATTTTATATTAAATAATCATATGAAAATTTGTATCTATTAGTAATTCTTTGTTTATTGTTAAATGATTTATAAGTATTTCTCTAAAAAAGGATATTTTTGTCTAATATTTTTCATATGCAGGGGCAATTGGATTAAATTCATTTAGCTAGCATCTTTTCAAATTAATGTCATTGATGACATTCAACAAACAAAATTTAGAAAAGATTGTACATATAACGTGAACGTATTTAAAAATTAATGTGCTTTGAATGTAACCATGCAATTCATTTGTCTACTAAGATATTTTTCTAGGGTTTTCCACCGCACATTTTTCATATTTGTTATATAGTTCTTTTATAGTTTGTTTTTTTAGGACACCGACATACTTCATAAATATTGGAAAAGAAATTTAATCTGACATCGTTTTATTTATTGAAAGTCAAAGGAAGAAAAAGGAAATATCTTTGGAGAATCTCTTAGCTCAACTTTTTAAAATGTCTAACTAATAGTTTCCTTTATTTTATTTTTTTGGGAATCTGGACTATTGATGGCATTCAATTTCATAATCTCACCATTTTATATGTGTTGAAATTTTGAAATTGGTAGATTTTTTTGATATCAATGTTAAAATTAAAGTTTGATATCTTATCTGAGAATCTTTAGATCAAAAAAGATCAACGACTCTAATTTGTAAGCATATGACACCATAGAAAAAGATCTAACAATTCTCATATGAGGTGTCAAACTTTAAATTTAACACTGATATCAAAGAATCCAACATCATTTTAAAAATAACAACTTTTCAGTGTACACATTATTACTTTTTGTTAGACTTTTTAAATTCACGGAAATTATACACCTTTTTTTAGTGAACATTATACACTCTTTAAATAACATATACACGTCAAGTTATCAAATTAAAAGCCACAATCATAAATTATCATCTTGTAATTTCAAGTATAATAAATTAATATATCTGAAAAAAATTTGAATAAACAATATTAACACCCAAATTCCCAATTTTATTCTCTTTCTCAAAGTACAAGGATACTTAATTAAAAAAATTTAAAGTACATATGGTAATTTAAAATATGAACAAAGTTAAAGAAGGTAAAATATATTTTAATCAAAATTTAAATAGATATACAACAGGAGTGGTAAAACGTGTGATGACCCACGGGTCAACCCGCAACACAACACGTCAAAATATAGGTCATGTCAACCCTTAAGATAAAATGGATTGTGTACGAGTTTGGATAAATAACACAAATTAGTGTCGTGTCATGTCATGGATTGACCCGCATGATATGCGTGTCAACTCGCAATTTTTTTTAACCAAAAAAAATAAAAAAAATTATAATTTTGGTGATTCAACACAACTTGATCTGATCATGGGTCACCCCAGGTATTTTATTTAGTGTTTTCCTTTTATTTCTAATTTTTTTAGAAAATATCAATTTTTTAATTTTTGTCAATCAACCCATGTGACCCACGACCCATGGAGGGACATGTTCAAAATTCAATTTTTGACCCGCGAACAAAAATAGATTGTGTTCAAATTGGACAGTTTGACAAACGGGTCAAACCTTAATATGACACCTGATACATTTTCCACTCCTAATATATATATTTTTAAGTCGTGTAATTAATTCTAATATAAGAATAAAATATTTAAATACTCTAAATACAAGAAAATCACAAACATGGTACTCCTTCAAAACCATATAATATTCGCAACTACTCTGAACTCTATTTAAAAAAGAGTAAATACCATTTTTTGTCCCTGACAATTTTCACAAGACCCATTTTAGTCCCCAACAATAAAAAAGGCTCGTTTTAGTCCCTAATATTTGATAAAAAGTGCCACGTTTGTCCTTCAGTTAGTTGGCATCTGACGACCCAACTAACGGAGCACACGTGGACCGTTAGTTAGCTGAGTCACTAACGTCACGACCAGCGTGGACGTAATACGATGACGTTTACAACATGAATTGTGTCTTGTTGGACTTTTGGACAGGTGAACCTTGCATCGAAAGGGTTAGTGACCCAATATGGTCCCTGTCAAATTCAGAACCCTAAATCAGCCTAAATCAACCATGAACAAAAAAATTCCCCAAAAGCTCCCCACGTTGAAGACTGAAAATTGAGGAGAGTAGAAGTTATTTACTAGCCATTTTCTGGGGTGTAGGAGAAGATGAGCCTCTCATCTGGCATGGGGGGCTTAAGTGGGAGTACGTCTTTTGGGTGTAGAACAACCTCACGGACTGGCGGTCGAAGGAGCAAATGTGGGAGGCAAAATATCGTCTATACCTCCAAAATAGAGAGAAACCCAAATAGGGCATTCTTTGGGTGCCCTAATTTCAAGGTATACATTTGGAAATTGAAGTTAATTAAATTGTAATATCTGCTTACCGTGGTTTGCAAATTTGGCAGGATAAGAAGTCGTTTTGTGATTTTTTTAGATGGGTAGATGACGTATGTAATGAAAGGCTGGAGATTGAAGATGGAAGAATACACAAGGTGGAGTTGGATGTTGTTGAAATGGATTTCAAGTTGAAGTATGTGGACATGATGATGAGTGAACAATTGCAAGCTAAGATGAATGACCAAGGTGTGAAGATTAGTGAGCAAGAACTGAAGCTTAATGAGCAGGAAAGAAAGCTGAATGAGCTATACCTGAAGATGGTGGAGGAGTTAGATAGGATGGACAAGGAAATTAGGCATGTTGGTAGGTCAGCTAGGGTCTTAGTTGCTGCTTGTGTAGATGGGATGATGATTTGTATTTTTGTTGCAACTGTGGTAACAATGAAATATAGTGTACGAAATGTATTTTTTCTTCAATGAAATGTAATGAGTTCTGTGTACTTTGATGAGTAAATGTCAGAAGATGCTATTATTATATGGCAATGGAGTTCTGTATTTTGGTTGGAAAATGTGTTTTTGTGTAGACTGCTTTCTTTGCTCAAGCTTACACTATATGTCAATGGCAATGGAACAAGGTCATGGATTAATACTTGCCATCTATTTGCATCATATTTTTTATTTCTGTTATGAATCCACTGTCATGATGGGGCATAACCATTTTATCTGCATAATGAGGGTGGATTGATTGATTGTATATGCTGGAATAAGTGACTTTGAGAAGTTAGAAGTTGGATGTTGGATGTAGTCATATATGTAGTCATATTTGTTTAAAAACTGGGATTTTGAGAACTATTTTTGGTCCCTAACAAAATAAACAAAACCCCTTTTTGGTCCCTGACAATTTGTATCGGGGCCCTAATTGGTCCCTGACACTTAAAAAATGGACATGTGTTGTTTAGTAAAAAGAGGTATTGCCAGTAACACAACATATTGCAGCAATGGAATGCACATATTGTAGCAAAATGTATCCACATATGTAACTCAAACCAGCAAACACCAACCACAAACATTTCAAAGCTCCATTGTAACTCATGACATCATTGGATCACATCTTTTTTCCATAAATGTATACAGAGACATATTGCAGCAAAAAAAGCAAGTGACCAAGGTTGATAAATCAGTTAGTGTCACAGACATATTGCAGCAAAGAAAGGGAAAAAATTGAAACAGTTAAAGTTATCAAACAAAGAGAAAGAAATCAATTGACAAAGGATGATAAATCAGGATTAATGTAGCCATTTACAATTCTAAACATATCCATCAAACAGTTTCCACATTAAGGTTTCATAATTACAAGCACATAACAAAAAGAGGGCCTGCCAATTGTAATTTAAACCACCATGTAATTCACCTAAAGGCCTTAAATACAAAAAAATATGGGGGTACAATTCGAAATGGCCAAAGATACCAATGTTGCCTATACAAAAAGCACTGAACCTACAACTGATCAACTTCATTCAAGCTGGCCTTGGTGGCCTAAACCCAGGTGTGGTCATGAAGGCCATTAGCCTGCTCCTTGTGCCACTGCTTGTTGCATTGAGAGTTTCACTTGACAAAACTTCTGGTGGTGGTGGGGCAGTAGGTGGTGGGCTGTTGCCCCTAATTGATTCATCAACTGCCTGGGAAGGTCTTGATAGTACAGAACGTCCTCCTTGACTCAGAGGGAGCTCCTCTTCAGGTCTTGATGGTATGTTGACATTAACTGGAGCAGAAGGTGGTGCTGCTCTCTTCCCTTTCTTGCTTGCAGCTGGTCCCTTACAAGTCTTTGCATAGTGACGAGGCTGCCCACATTTATCAGCATATGTCCTCTTTAATCTTTTGGTTTTGCTGTCATGCTCCTTACTTGGATCCTTCTTCCTATGTTTTTTGGGACGACCAATTGGCCTTTTTAGTGGTGGAGGAATGGGTTTAGGCTCAATTGATGTAGGTCAATACTTATCAGAATTGACAGGGTTCAAGGTGTGTGCATAAGTGGCATGCAAAGCATCCACTGTCAGCCATTGATGCACATACAGCTCTGCTAGTTCATTCTTGTGACATATTGCAGCAATTGCATGCTCACATGGCAATCCAGTCAGCTGCCACAAATTACATGCACATGTCTTATAGGTTAAATTGACTCCAACCCTTTCACCCTTTTCAGCCACTTCGTATATGTCTTGATCCAAATTCGCTGTCCATGTTGGGGTCCAGGAATTGCTCAGGGCCTTCAATTGACCCAACTTCTTCTGTTGTGCAGGGGCAATTTTACCCCTAACTGTTCCAAGAATTCTTTGATGTGCAGCCATCCTCCTCATGATATAGCACCTAAGTTCTTCACATAGACGGATTATGAGCTTGGACCTGTATCCTACAATTTTTGCATTCCAAACCTCAGCCAAGTTATTGGTTATGTTGCCACACTTGGGCCAGTGACTAAAATAGGCTTTGTCCCAGCATGAGAGGTCAATCTTGTGTAGATATGCCCAAGCATCTTCATTAAAATCTTTCAATTTCTGCATAGTTCTTTGGAATTGGGGCACAACAGTGCATCGTGTAGCCTCCCAAACTATTCCCCTAATGGCCTTGTCCTTCCATTGCTTAATGAAATTCTTCCAGACATGCTGCACACAAAACCTGTGATGGGCACCAGGCATGACCTCCTGCAAAGCTGGTATCAAACCCTGCATCCATATTTGAAGCATCAATAAAAATCATTATGCATGGCTACCAATGTACAGGTTATATAAAACCCATATAAAACGAAAAGAAATTTGAAATAAAAATACCTTTTGCTGATCAGAAATGAAGTACCACCCATGTACTACATGGCTGCCAATGTCCTTTTGTAACAAGTTCAGAAACCACTTCCAGTTTTCTTTGGTCTCACTATCAACCACTGCATAAGCAATGACATAAAAGCTCTTGTTTGCATCCTCTCCCACTGCACTCAAGAGCTGTCCCCCATAGTATCCTTTTAAGAAACAACCATCCAGGCCAATCAATGGCCTACAACCAGCTTTGAATCCTTTCTTACAGGCATCAAGACATATATACAGTTTAGAAAAAATAGGTGGGCTATTAGGTACTGGTTGTGGTATTACTTGCATCTGGCAAATGGATCCAGGATTGCTTCTCAAAATCTCAGTCAGGTAGTCCCTTAACTTGGCATACCATTCCTTCTCACATCCTTCTATTCTGCCCTTGGCTTTACGCAGTGCCTTGGTCACTTTCTTGAGATGTACATGGACCTTGTACTCCTCTTTTAAATGCTCATAAGCTTCAACCCTAGTCATGTTGGGCTGTGTGACCATCTTTTTCTTCAACTTTTTTAGAACCCAATCCTTGCTGGCCCTTTTATTTTTGAAAATTCTGCAGCAGGAATGTGAATCATTGAATGTCTTCACTTGGAAACTATTGAATTTGTTGTTCCAGGCACAATATATCATCCAGTCACACTCTTCATTTGAGCATTTGGCCCTTGGTCTTACCTTGTCATATTTAACCCACTTAAATTGCCTCCCAAGACTTATATTGTAGTCTTTCACACCATTTTTAAAGTGCTCTAAACTGACAAACTCCATTCCAAGCTCAAGTTGTACATGACCAAAAGTATTCTCCTCATTAAACTTTGGAAACACAACCCTTTCAACCTCCTCATCCCCACTTGAAGGAGGAGTCTTCAGCTCTTCAGAATTGTAACCATAGCGCTGCTCTTCAAATGACATATTTTGCTAATCCTCTTCCAAGTTTTCTTCCTTGTCACTCTTGTTAACTGTCTTTTTTTTTCTTTTTTCCTTTCACGCTTTTTTTTAATGAAATAAGTGGCTCATCCTCTTCATACAGTTCATCCTCTGTTTCGTCATCAACACCCGGTGGAGGAGGCTTATATGACTCATCTTCTACACTGTCATATGAATCACTTGACAGTCCATTGTCCTCTCCCTCTTCATATTCATCAGCAGTATTCATATGAAAGTCATATGAACTGCCAACTGAATCACCTAACACCCCCTCCTCATCAGCACTTTGAGGTACAGACCCATCAGTCCCTTCTGCAGGTCCAGCCAAAATGTCAGGAAGTGCAATGCAATCTTCGAAATAAATTTCTATTTTGTTCCCATTACCTAATGCAGCCTTAACCATTTCCAAAACGTCTGAGTCCTTTTCAAGAAGACATAACCCAACCTCTAAATCACTCTCACTAGGCTTAAGCCACCACATCTGTCTACATTTTTGATAGCCATACCCCTTGAACAGAGTTTCAAGGTCACGAAGGTTGACATAGTCTGCATCTATCTTAGGTAAATCATCCACTCTCCTATTTACATAAGCCAGCTTCCCTTTGACATTCCTAACTGATGGGACGTAAATTCGCTCCCATCTAAGCCCATTTTGATGGAAAAATACCATACGTTCCCTCATCTCATGAACAACTTCAGCATGAAAATCACGTGTTTTACACATTTGTGACAAAAACACAGTGGGAGAACGTATGATGACATATTCCTTTGAAAATATATTAAAAGGGGAATGGATTGAGAGCATTTATTACACCTGCTGCACTCATTTAATGCTTCTGTCCATTTTGCAGGAAACGTGGAAACAACGTCTTCTAAAAGCAAAGGCGGTGCACCACTTAAGCACCAAGAAATGTGAAGAGCAGATAATCAAGAGTTCTCATTGGCTAAGAAGAAAGCAAGGCATGGGGGACTGCAAGAAAACAGCTAATCATCAACAAAAAACTGTCCCATCAAGCAATTTGCAAGCTTCTAAACACTGTTGCCACCGCCTCGTCCCTTCATTCAAGAAACCAACTCCAAAGGATTTACAAGACTGCCACCCACTCTTCTACCTATAAAAAGGACGTCCCAAATACAAAAACATCTTCGAATTCTGGAGGGATTGAAGTCCTAAAAAAAGAGATCACCTAGTATTAGTTAGTAGTTTAATTCTGTATAGTTGTAGCTGTAGTTAAGTGACAACATTTCTACCTTGTTTTGTAACATTCACTTGAGACTCCTCACGAGCATCAACCATCTTCTCCATTTTATATTTTGTTGTAATATTACTTGTTTCATTTCAATATAAGTGTTTCTTCTTTCCTTTCCACTCGTTATCTCTGAACTAAATCTCGGGTCTATGGGACTTCAGTTTAGAATAATTAAGTTTAAAGTATCAGCCATGGGCTGAAATATCTGTGGGACGGATAAGCTGTAAAACTCTTAAAGAATTATTTTCAAAACTCTTGACTGAAGCTTTTTGTATTTCTCTGGCTAAGTAAGCTATATTCATTGTGTATCAATGGAAATTGAACACATACTGAGAAAGGAACTTCCTTAAGGAAGGGATTTCAGACAGCTTAGCCATTAGGGGAAGGTAGTGTTATGACAAAAACACTATTGGTCGCCTTAGGAATAAGGGGCCACTTCGTCCATTTTAAGGTTCTGTACTAAGTACCTGTTGGAGTCAAATGAGCCATAGGAATATGGAAACTTGTGAGCCATCTAGTCCATGAGCTGAGGAATCAGAGTTGGAAAATAAGAAACTAGGACAAAGACAAAAAGTGCTAAGTCTTGAGCAGAGGGAATAACTATTTAAGAATGGAGCAGTGAATCCCTTCCTTCTGTTAAACTGTTTTTAAAACCATCCACCTTGTTGTCTCTTGATTATAGTTATTACTGTTTTATTTTTACTTTGTTTAATCTTGTATCTATCAAACTCCAATGATTATTATCACACCTTCTTTTAAACAGGAAGAATCACATATATAACGCAGCGAGCAATTTTTTGCCATCAGACTGAACTTACTGTTCCTGAGGAACGTTGTCAAGACAGTAGGGAACATTTGACCAGACAGTTCAATCACTAACTTTTTTTTTCATTTCCATTCTTTATAAAATAGTTTAAGACAATATTTAGAGTTCTATCCTCGTGGGAACGATAATCTGGGCATTAATACACCCATTATTACTTGATGCGTGCACTTGCGCACTTGAGTTGGAAGTAAGGGAACAACTCTGTTTTCTATTGCTAATTTAGAACAGAGGAATGTCCCCCAACATAATACATATTTTTCTACCATCAGCAAACCACCCAACAAGTTTTTGGCGCCATTGCCAGGGATAGAAACACTAAATTTTGTTCTTATTACTATTTTAGTACATACTCTGTATATTTTGTTTTTATTTTCTTGTCACTAACTCTGCTGTTTATATAACTTGTGTTTATGGTTTATGAGTGAAGAGTTTGAAACAAACTCTGACCACTCCATTGAAATACATGAGTTTCTCTTTGACCCTGAACCAGAACGTACCTTTCACAGAAGAAGAAGAAACCTCAGGGAAGAAAATTTTGAAAATATGGCTGATCACAATAACAATGAAGATATTCCCCCTGAGCAGAATTTTAGAACTCTGGCTGCTCCTTTCAGGAATAGACCAGATAGGGGAGTGATCCTTCCCCCTGTAGCACCTAATTTTGAACTCAAACCTATCATGTTTTACATGATTAAGGAAGCTGGAGTCTTCAATGGACTCCCTGCAGAAGATCCGTACACACACTTCACAACCTTTCAAGATATTTGTGATAACTTTAAAGCTGAGGGTGTGACAGATGAAAGTATGAGAATGAGGTTATTCCCTCACTCCTTAGGCTTAAAAGCAAAAACATGGATGAAGACTCTCGCCCCTGGATCAATCCACACGTGGGAGAAACTCTCTAACAAATTCATAGAAAGGTTTGTCCCTATGTCTCGACAAGCTGATGTGAGAGCAGAACTCTCTAACTTCAGGATGTTTTATGGAGAAAATCTCTATGAAGCTTGGGAGAGCTACAAGGACATCATCAGAAAATGTCCAAACCATGGGGTAGAAAGTTGGGGAGTGTTACAATCTTTTTATAAAGGACTTGACCATACTTCTCAGTCACATTTAGATTTTGCTGCAGGAGGATATTTTTTTACAGGAAGGCACTGCAGAAAGATGTCTCCAATTGCCAATAGACAGGGTGAGCCCAGTAAGGAAGCCTGGCATGCTAGAACTAGACAAACAAACTGCCATGGAAACCCATCTAGCCTCACTCATGAAGGAGTTGAAGAACCTGAAAGCTGATCAAGGAGCACCAAGGATGGAAGTCTTACAACTCACAGCAGCTGAAACTAAACCATGTTCAGCCTGTGGTGACCTTCATGACTCAACAGACTATCCATCCACTGCATTGGTGTGTTATGCAGAAAACTTTGGCAACAAAAACTTCACCAGAGACAATCAGCAAGCAGGACGCAATACCAATTCAAATCCTGGAGGAACTATCACCAAAGATCAGGACCATAATCCCCAATGGAGGCCACCCATGAACCACATACCATTCAACAAACAGCAGCAACAATACCAGCAAGGCAGCAGCAGTGGAACGTTTGAACCAAGAAGACCCAATTACGTTTTGTTCCACAGAGATGACAAACGCATCAACACCCTGAAAAACTATGTCAAAGAATATGTCACCAGGAATGATGTCGTGGTCAGGAACATTGAGTCCCATCTGGGACAGATTGTTGCCAATCTCCAAACAAGAGCACCCGGATCACTACCAGGGGACACTGACGTTCCCTCAACAGCATCAACAGCCTCACCAAAAGAAGTAATTACTTTGCCCAGTTCCCCTTCAGAGAAAATCAAAGTTGTCACCTTGCGAAGTGGAAAAACCACTACACAACCCACCACTCTGCATGAGGAAGAGGAACATAATAAAGCATCTGAAGCAACCTCAGAAGAAGAACAACAACAACCAGCCACAGATGAGCAGAACCCACAGCTTGGCAAAGAAGTTGAAACCAACGAAAACCAGGTGGACAGAAGTCAAACAATCAGTCCCACTCAAAGCAAGCAAATACCAGCAAAAATTCTGTTCCCTCAAAGAACAAAGAAGCAACAAGACGATAAGCAGTTTGGAAAGTTCCTGGACATTCTAAAACAGCTCCACATCAACATACCTCTGGTGGACGCACTAGAGCAAATGCTCAGGTACGTGAAATTCATGAAAGATGTTCTCTCAAAAAAGAGGGGGATAACAGAATATGAGACTGTGAAAATGACACAAGAAAGTTGCCAGTATTTGGGCAAACTCCCACCTAAGCTTCAAGATCTAGGAAGCTTTTCCATTCCTTGCATCATAGGGAACACATACCAAGGGAAAGCCTTGTGTGATTTAGGGGCAAGCATCAATCTCATGCCTCTCTCTGTTTTTAAGCAATTGTCCACTGGGCCAGCAAAACCAACCACTGTAACATTACAAATGGCAAACAGATCCATCGTTAAGCCAGAAGGAAAAATTGAAGATCTACAAGTTAAAGTAGACAAATTTATCTTGCCTGCTGATTTCATCATCTTGGATTACGAAGCTGATGTTGACGTTCCCATCATTCTAGGTAGACCGTTCTTGGCAATTGGAGGAGCGGTTATCAATGTGCAAAAAAGGGGAACTGACCATGAGAGTTCATGATGATGAGATCAAATTCAATATCGTAAAAGCAATGAAGTTCCAGGATGAAGACGAAGATTTGGAAGAGTGTTCTGCAATCACTTTGTTAGACAACCAGTTCAGCAGAAAAACAGAGGAGGAAGAATTTGAAAAAGAAGAAGGTTCACAAAAGGAGGAGCAAAATTGCTATCTACAAGGAAGAAGACCTGAACCTTTACTGAGAACTGAAAAGGAAAAACAACTCAAACGACCCTCTTTAGAACATCCTACTGATCTAGAACTAAAATCTCTTCCACAACACTTGAAATACGCATACCTAGGGAACAATAACACCCTTCCTGTGATCATCTCCTCATTCCTCACCAAGGAACAAGAAGAACTGCTGATCAACAAGCTGAGGAAATACCAAGGAGCTATCGGTTGGACCATAGCAGACCTCAAAGGTATCAGTCCCTTATTTTGTATGCATAAGATATTATTGACTGATCCTAACAGCTTTTCAGTGGAACACCAAAAGAGATTGAATCCTATAATGAAGGAAGTGGTAAGAAATAAAGTCATCAAATGGCTAGATGCAGGGATCATATATCCAATATCTGACAGCAGTTGGGTAAGTCATGTTCAATGCGTTCCCAATAAGGGAGGCATAACGGTGGAATTAAATGAGAAAAATGAGCTAATCCCTATAAGAAAATTTACAGGATGGAGAATTTGCCAAGATTACAGAAAGCTCAATAATGCCACCAAGAAGGACCACTTTCCACTCCCTTTCACAGATCAAATGTTGGATCATCTAGCAGGTAAGGAATATTTCTGCTTCCTTGATGGATATTCTGGATATAATTAGATTGCTCTAGCACCAGAAGATCAACATAAAACCACCTTCACTTGCCCGTACAGAACGTTTGCTTTCAGAAGGATGCTTTTTGGGCTGTGTAATGCACCAGCAACATTCCAAAGGTGTATGTTCTCTATTTTATCTGATCTAATAGGTGAAGGAGTAGAAGTCTTCATGGATGACTTCTCGGTGCTGGGAACGTCATATGACCATTGCTTGGATAACTTAGAAGAAGTCCTCCAAAGATGTTTGTCCTCTAATTTGGTGCTTAACGGGGAGAAATGCCACTTAATGGTGAAAGAAGGAATCGTCTTGGGACATAAGATTTCCAGAAAAGGACTAGAAGTGGATCAAGCCAAAGTAGAAGCAATAGCAAAAATGCCACCACCAGTAAATGTCAAAACGCTGAGATCTTTTCTCGGGCATACAGGTTTCTATAGAAGGTTCATTAAATTTTTTTCCAAAATAGCTAGACCTTTGTGCCATTTGTTAGAAAAAGATATGAAATTTGAGTTTAACTCTGATTGCCTGAAAGCTTTTGAATCCCTGAAAAACATGCTTGTCACTACGCCTGTCATCCAACCTCCGGACTGGAACTTAGCCTTTGAACTAATGTGTGATGCAAGTGATCACGCTATTGGGGTAGTTCTGGGCCAAAGGAAAGAAAAATTATTTCGTAGCATATACTATGCCAGTAAAACGTTGAATGAAGCTCAGGTGAACTATACAGTCACTGAAAAGGAGCTGTTGGCTGTAGTATATGCCTGCGAAAAATTCAGGCCTTACATTTTGGGATCAAAAATTACTGTCCATACTGATCATGCAGCTCTCAAGTATCTTTTTTTCCAAAAAAGAAGCAAAACCAAGATTGATAAGATGGATCCTACTACTGCAAGAATTCAATTTGGAAATCAAAGAAAGAAAAGGATGTGAAAACCAAATTGCAGATCACTTGTCCAAATTAGAACACATTGAAGTGGGGCTACCAATCAAGGAAACGTTCCCTGACGAACAATTGTTTGTCATCAATCACAAAGAAACAGACGTTCCTTAGTTTGCTGACGTAGCCAACTTCCTTGCAGCAGGACTAGAACTATACGAGGCAAACAAAATGCAGAAGAAAAAATTCTTTCATGATTGCAGGAAATATCTCTGGGATGAACCATTACTATTCAAAAGATGCGCAGATCAGATGATAAGAAGATGTGTTCTAGAAGAATAGCAACCTTAAATCCTTCAACACTGCCATTCATCCCCATATGGAGGCCATTTGGGTGGAATAAGGACTGCCTCCAAGGTTCTTCAATCAAGTTTTTTTTGCCCTCCCTCTTTAAAGACGCACTTCGATTTGCTAAACAATGTGATAAATGTCAAAGGGAAGGTAACTTAGCCAAACAAAATGAAATTCCCCTCAATCCCATTTTAGAAGTAGAATTATTTGATGTTTGTGGCATTGATTTTATGGGTCCTTTTCCTCCTTCTTGTGGGAAAAATTCATATTGATGGCTGTAGATTATGTAAGCAAGTGGGTGGAAGCAGTTCTTTACCCACTAATGATGCTAAGGTGGTTATAAAATTTCTAAAGAAAAATATTTTAACCAGATATGGAACCCCACGTTGTCTCATCAGCGATGGTGGGAAACATTTCATTAACTGCCAACTTGAGAGATTATTGGAGAAATATGGGGTAAGGCACAAGGTTGCAACCCCATATCATCCACATACCAGTGGTTTCATTGAAGTCTCAAACCGAGAGGTTAAGATGATTTTAGAGAAGGTAGTCAATCCTTCTCGAAAAGACTGGTCTCTCAAGTTAGATGAAGCATTATGGGCTTACAGAACTGCATATAGAACACCCTTAGGATGTTCTCCATACAGATTGATATTTGGCAAAGCATGCCACCTTCCCCTCGAGCTGGAACACAAAGCTTACTGGGCAGTCTATGCCCTCAACATGGATGAAAAGGAAGCAGGAGAAAAGAGAATGCTACAACTTGAAGAGTTAGAAGAATCAGAGGAAACACATATGAGAATCATAAATTATACAAAGAAAAAATGAAGAAGTGGCACGATAAAAGGATCAGAAACAGAGATCTAAAAATTGGCCAGAAAGTGTTACTCCTCAATTCCAGACTCAAACTGTTTTCGGGAAAACTCAAATCAAGATGGACTGGGCCATACCAAATTATAAATGATGCAGGAAATGGAGCTTTTGAGATCCAAGGATCTGAACATGGCCGTTCCTTCAAAGTGAATGGACACAGGTTAAAACTTTACAATAATGAAACCTTTGATGAAAAAGAGGAAAGCATCCCTCTTTCTGAATCCACCTGAAAGGTAAGTACCATGTCTAGCTAAAGACAATAAACTAAGCGCTGACTGGGAGGCAATCCAGTAAATACATTTGCTCTCTAACAAAGAGCAAAGTTTTGGGGTGATTAATCTTAACCACATAGCTCCCAAAAGGAGGGAACGTCTGATGTTCAACTCTAAAGTCCAAATAAAGTACGTTCCGTTCCAGGAACGTAGTTTTGGGGTGGTTACTAACCACACTATCCCAATATAAAAAAAAAAAATTATTGTTTATTTCATCTCCCTTTCTGTTCCCTTGTAAATATTAACTTTTGCAATGAAAAAGACTTTTTGATCAAACTGCTTGGTACATACATTTCAGTTGTAGTATTAAGGTTGTACAATTTTTAATAGCCAACAACATGAAACACAAAGTCACTGACCAATCATTCTTATTCTTTCTCTGAGTGCCTGAAATAGGAAGAGTGCAGAGAATTTAATCTTCAGATTTTTTAGGGATGCTGATCTGTGTGAACTAAGCTGGTAAGGAACAGAAAAAGGCCAAACACTTACTTATGAGAGCGTTCTTGAGGTGTAACCACAATAAAACTTCTAAACTTGCCTTGATGCTGTGAGTACTGCTGAAGAACAGATGGATTTCACTAACAAGGATCAAACAAAACCATACACTCACTTCCATTCCATCCATAGTCATCAAACACATCACCAGGTCAATCAGAAAGTGGCGAGGAACAGATCCAAAAATGAACAAAAAGGACAAAAGAAAGAAAAGCAAAGAAAAAGGGAACAACCATTCAAAAGAATTCAGACGAAAATACCAGAAAACCTCTCTTCAAGGGAGAAAAGGTACAAAAAGAAAAGGTGTTCCCCCAAACAGAAAAAGTCCAGTTCAGAAGCACAAAGGTAAACGTCCCTTGACCCCATACTTAAGACCATAATTCTTCCACATATCCATAAACCCCCTATCAAAAGATCCTTGGAAGGGAAGACATATGCAATTCATAGGAAAGTAGCAGAAAAGCAAGTTCTGAAGAATCACATCCAGGAATGGACAGAGAAAACACCAAGCCCTGAATGATAGTGAGACAGAAGATCAGCAACCTTCACTTACCTGGGAACAAATTCTTCTTACTTATCACCTATGGAGAGTAGCTCATTTTTTGAAAAGTTTATGATTGCTCACTGGCTCAAGTTTCTTTCTGTTGAGCTATTCTTTGAAATTGAGCAGTGTGATACAATATTTCTGAGTTGTTTGAGGACAACCAACAGTTTAGTTTTGGGGTGTTTGATGGGACGTAAATTCGTTCCCATCTAAGCCCATTTTGATGGCAAAATACCATACGTTCCCTCATCTGATGAATAACTTCAGCATGAAAATCACGTGTTCTACTCATTTGTGACAAAAACACAGTGGGGGAACGTATGATGACGTATTCCTTTGGAAATATATTAAAAAGGGAACGGATTAAGAGCATTTATTATACCTGCTGCACTCATTTAATGCTTTTGTCCATTTTGCAGGAAACGTGGAAACGTCTTCTAAAAGCAAAGGCGATGCACCACTTAAGCACCAAGAAACGTGAAGAGCAGAGAATCAAGAGTTCTCATTGGCTAAGAAGAAAGCAAGGCATGGGGGACTGCAAGAAAACAGCTAATCATCAACAAAAAACTGTCCCATGAAGCAATTTGCAAGCTTCTAAACACTGTTACCACCACCCCGTCCTTTCATTCAAGAAACCAACTCCAAAGGATTTACAAGACTGCCACCCACTCTTCTACCTATAAAAAGGACGTCCAAAATACAAAAACATCATCGAATTCTGGAGGGAATGAAGTCCTAAAAGAAGAGATCACCTAGTATTAGTTAGTA